ATCTTACCAGCTTTTTTTGTTTTTATGACTGCCATTGTGGAAAACATCTCATGAAGATGGACCAGCTAGAAGAGAGAGAGAATGCTGGGACCCTCTTTTTCGCCCTCATGTGCCTCCATTGTCGCACAGACTTGCCCCTTGCGTTTTTCCTCTTCCTGACCGACCTCGGCCATAGCTAGACCCACAGCTAGTTTGTGGTTGTTCCTCTTGCGTTGTGGTGTGGAATAACATAGCACAGACCACGCTTCAAAATTGGGCATAAGTAGAACCAGCCCTTTACGCAAACGGGTAACACGGTTCTGCTTTATGCAACCCAGCCATGTCTAGCCTTGTTCGAAACCTTATTTCATTGGCTACAAAGCCAAACATCCTACATGGTCTTAACCAATAACAGCAGGACTCTATGAGGCATAATATCACTCTACTCGGTGCATCATTCTGTTCTTCCAATTACATATTATATCTGGGCATCAGTTCTCTAAAATTTCCACTAAAAAATTTCCATGAGGTGTGGCTCTAAGGTGTCATTACAATACCTTGCATTGTTAAAATTTTTGCATTAGGTTCTCTGCTATGCTACTGGGCGAGGTAGATATCTTATGAATGTGTTTATAGCTAGAGTATATTACCAACATTTAACTTAGTAAATGCCCCAGGCTGAAGTCCCTGGATCTGAACTCTCAACAAATAACACCAAACTGATCGCTTAGGTGTCCTAACAAGCGATTAAATAGATGTAGCGAATCGAGTGTCTGGCTGCTGGCTGAGTTCTGACCAAAACATAAAATAGCAAGCATAGTTTTTAGTGGGAGTTGCACAGTAAAGATTAATTGAATAAGCCATTTTTAAAGGATTTATTTAATTGATAGGTGTTTTGTATTCTGTTACATGGTAAAATAAACTTTAAAACCTAAAATAATTACTTTACTACTACTTTATTAGTAGTAGTTTGGGAGATTGTAGTTCATTTTAATCCAAAATGCGATGTACTGCTGCTGGGTTTTCACAATTCAACTCTTGGTTGAGGGTAATTAAGGGGGTTGGGTGCTGGGGGTGCTGGGGGTTGGGTTATGGAAACTTTCTTTAAACCAAAGGGGGGCAGTTAGAAAACTTTGGGAGCCTCCAGTTTATAGAAATATCCGTGACATTTTTATACAGATCAATATTGTCGGGACATCTTTTTACAGAATTGTGAGAAAATGGGATGAGAGATGTGGTTGCTACCTTATAGAGTGATTTTTTATTTAATTAATAAATATCTAAGCAGGTAGGCAAACTTTACTTTGTATGAACACTGTAAAAACAATCTAGAAATAAGTAAAATTTTCTTAAATTAAGTGTATTTACCCTTAATTTGCAACGGAGTGATTATGTTTACTTTTAAAATAAGATATTTAGATAATATGCACTTGAAATAAGACAATGCAATTGTGTCTTCTTATTTTAAATGCAAATTGTCTCTTTTACCTCCTTAATTCAAGAACAAATGCACTCATTTTCAGAAAAACTGACTTGATTTTTGATGATTTTTTCCCCCAGTAAACGACTTGGTAAGGATT